GCTCAGAGGAGACGTTGAAGCAGGAGCTGAAGGCCAAATGTGATGAGATTGCAGAGTGGGAGCAGAAGAATGGCACCATGCATCATACGATCGAAGCGCTGCAGAAAGAGAAGGTTGATCTAAGCAGTCGTCTGGGCGAACGAAACGCCGAGATTAGGGAGCTCGAGATCCGCACAGCCACTCTGGAGGAAACTCTTCACTCTTTACGAAACAAGGTCGAAACGGCTGACCGCTACGAATCGTCGCTACAGGACCGCCTTGCCGACAAGGAGAGTACATGCCAAGATCTGCAAAAGCGACTTGACCGCGGAAAGGAGCACGTCTCACGTCTAGAGCAGAAGATCACCGGTTACGAGAAAGATGCGGCTGAACACTTGCGGAAGATTGAGATTGGTGCAAGTGTCATCTCTACGCTACGTGAGCAACTACAAGAGTCGCAATGGTCAAGCAAGAACACCGGAGACGCTCTCACATCTTTGAAAGAGGAGCTAGAGCAGCTAAAGACCAAGTTGGAGGCTGCGAGCGATGCGAGCCGAGCGCTGTCTACAGAGCTTGAGACTACCCAGACCGAGAAAGCCAACACTAAGAAGGAGTTGCACACTGCCCAAGAGAGCCTTGAGCGCGAGGTCAAATTGAAGACGGACCTTCAAGCGGAGCTGGAAACTCTACGCACCTCTCACGACGCCATTGAGGAAAACTTACAACAAGCTCAACAGCGCAACCAGTCTTTGGAGGCGGTTGATGCCAAGAGTCAGGCACAGCTAGAGAAACTTCGTGATGAGAAGGCAGCACTCGAAGCCGATCTGAAAGACTCCCGGCAGCTGCTGTTCAGACTACGTGAGGATGTACGCATGAGAGATGCCGAGCTTTCCGACCTGCAGTCTGTCAAGTCGAAGCTTGAAAAGAAGCTCCAAGTATCAGAAGAGCGCGTGTCGAATTTGGAGCAAGAATTACATCAAGTGCAAGCGTCAAAGCAAGCTGCAGATGCAAAGCATGCCGAGGAAATGCAGAAGAACGCCGAACACCTCCACGAACTAGAGGCGTCCATGGTCAGCCTTCGCACTGTGCTTGACTCGTCAGAGAAGCTGGAGGCTTCCTTACGTGGAGAGCTGGATCGTACGCGCAGTTCCAAGGTAGCCGTTGAGAAGGAGCTCGGACAGGCACTTCAATCGAAAGCAGACCTTGAGAGTCAGGTCGATCATATCCAATCGAGACTTACATGGACAGAAGGCGACCGTAACAACTTGCAGACCAAGATCAACCAACTTGAGAGCGAGCTCAGTTCTAGCTCTCAGGCGAAGATTGACCTCGATGCGCGACTCTCCACTACGACGAACGAAAGTGACTCGCTCAAAGTTCGTATCTCGGAGCTGGAGGCTGCACTCAAAGATAATACCGACGCGAGGACAAGGGCTGAAGAAGCATTGTCGGTTGCACAGCTGCATGGCGAGACGTCTAGCAAAGACCTGGCGGGCCTTCGTGAGAGGCTTGAACAGATTGAAGCTGCTAGGGATAGTGTGCAACAGGAGCTGAGCGACGCGACTCGCTCAAACACAGATCTCGAGACACAGCTAAATGCAGCGAAGGATCGCTTGACTAAGGCGGAAGAAGCGTTATCAGCAGCACAGCTGGACGGCGAAACCTCTAGCAAGGACCTCGTGGATGTTCGTGGGCAAGTCGAAGAGGTGGAAGCAGCTAGAAAGGGTTTGCAACAGGAGCTCAACGTTGTGATGGGCTCCAACGAGGACCTGGAGACTCAGCTCAGCGCAGCGAAGGATCGCTTGATCAAGGCAGAGTCTGAGGTTCAGGACGTACGCTCGCAACTCTCGGAGTTGCAAGATGAGGTCTCGGAACTTCATCGATCGAAACAGCAGCTCGAGGAACACCTGCTGGCCCACAATGCCTCCCACGAAAAGCTCGATGAGGACCTACAGCTTACTCGGTCTCAACTGGAGGGAGTTCAATCTCGGATCCCACAACTTGAGACACGACTAGCTTCCAGCGAAGAGGAGCTCGAAGCTATGTGCCGAGCCAAGGCCGTCACTGAGAAGCGGCTTGAAGAGACGCAGGTTGCCAACGCTAGCTTGGAGAAGGAGCTTGACATTGTGCGAAAGGACAATGAGGAGATCAAGAGTCGACTTGATAGCACTACTATCACCAACGCGCAATTGGAGAGGGATCTCACTACAACCCGTTCCAAAATGGCAGAGTCGGACGCATACAAGACTGAACTCACTTCCAAGTTAGCCGACGCGGAGAAAGAGCTCGACGGCCTCCGACAATTGAAAGACGATGTCGAGAAGAAGTTGGGTGAAGCGTTGGCTGTCTCGACAAGCACAGAAGAAAGTCTTTCTTCGACTCGCACCCGGCTGAACGAGGTTGAATCGCAGAACGCCTCCATCTCCGCGGAGCTTACCAGAGCGAATGAAGAGTTAAACGCTCTTCAACACGCGAAGACTGAGCTGGAGAGTAAGGCAGACAGCACTGAACAGCAAGTCAGTTCTCTTCAGGATGATGTGACGAATATGCGCTCACGCATAGCCGAACTGGAATCGGACAGCACTGACTTGGTCTCTAAGCTGTCGGTCAACAGCAAAGAGCTGGATGAACTCAGATCAATGCACGCAATGCATGAGGAGTCCTCTCGATCCGCGTCAGATCGCAATAGTGCGCTTGAGGCCGAATTTCGCGCTGCTCAGATGCGGCTGGATATTGCAGAGTCGGAAAGCCTTGAAATGCTCAATGATCTCATTGCGGTCAACGAGGAACTCGGAACTCTTCGTGAGTCGAATGCCACACTTGGCGCTTCTGAGAAAGAACTGTCGGCCCGCCTTATTTCAGCAGAGGAGGAGCTCAAGACCGCACGTGAGAAGAACGCAAAGCTGGAAGCCTTCCTGGAGCGTGTGGAGGCGGACATGGCCGATGCTCACTCCGCCGTCGAGGATACCGAGAGACGCTACCACGAATTCGTGGAAGAGTCGCAAGCCAAGCTGGATGCTGCGAAGGAGTCGAAGCAAAGGTACAAGCGCAGGCTTTCGGAAAGAAACAACGAGCTTGAAATCCTCATCAACGAGAACTCGGACCTGCATCACCAGATCGGCGACCAGACGCGGGAGCTAGGTGCGCTTAAGAAGGGCAAAGGCAAGCTGGTCGAAGAGCTATCAAAGAAGGAAAAGTACATTGAAGAGCTTGGATCTTCTACTGATAGCAGGATAAGATCAATGAACTCGGCATACGACGGTCTCAAGCGGAAGTTTGAAGAGCAGCAGCAACAGCATCGAGAGCTAGACGGCAACCACGACAACGCTGTTCGTCTAGAGGCTGAACTGGAGAGGAAGATGACTGAGATTGAAGAGATGCGACACCATCAAGAGGAGTACGCGGCATCATTCACTGCGCTTGAGCAGGAAGTAAAGGCGCTGCGAGATGACAAGCGAGCTTTCGAGACCTTGATTGCGACACTGCAAGATAAGATCAGACATCTGGAAGCCCTGGAGCAGTGGGATGAGCCGAAAGAGAACAAGGAGTCGAGCGAACTCCATCACACTTCCTCACCCCGCCACATCACCATCCATGACGGCCCTTACGACACTGCTCCGTCGAGTCCGATTTCATCTCACACAAGGAGCTCGATTGGACACATGAGTATGCAGCATGAGAGGCCGCAGACTAGCGCGAGCACCGTCTCTCACGAGGGTGATCCCGAATCCTGGGGCCTGCGGATAGAAAAGATACGTATGCAACGCGACGACGCAGCCGTCCAACTTAAGGGTATGAAGAAATCGCGCCACAACCTCAAGAAGACTTTGCGGGACACAGATGCGCAACTTCATCGATTGGAGAAAGAGACCAAAACGTAAGCATATCCTACCATCACTAAACGATAAAGACCAATAGCTAACGACTCCCCAGTAAACGTCCCCAAAACCTTCTCCGCAAGAAATCCCGTCCCATGACACCCAACCCCCTCACCGCCTCACCCGACCTATCTCGCAACACACCCTCCCCGCGCATCGGTAGCGCACCCCAAACACCCGACCGCCCTAAGACCTCCCACGCGATCTCCTCCTTCTCGCCTCGTTCCACCGTCAACGCCAATTCACGACATAGTACATACATCGCTCCCACCGCTCCCATGACGCCTGAAAACAAAACTGCGCCCTCCACACCCGAACGCCCTAAGACGAGTCATAGTATCAGGCATAGACTGAGTTATAGACCGACGACTAGTGGTGGTGAGGAACATGTCCACAAGGGCCATGGGCATGTGAGGAAGTGGAGTTCTGGGTTGAAGAGTTTGTTCCATAAGGATGGGTGAGAGGTAGCTGTTCTTTTCGCTTTCTTTGGTTGCTTTGACTTTGGATTGTGTATATTTTGTTTCTGTTTTTCTTTCTTTTGGCCCAGGCTGGCTTTTCGCTTCGTGTCGTTGTTGCTTGTGTTGTAGTTTATCTTTGTCTTCGCTTTTGTATTCGCGCTGGTCTTTTGTTGATGTCATTGTTTTGCATTCTTGAGATACCAAAGGATAGGGCTTATGGAAGGGGGTAATGGGTTCTTTCTAGGGTATCGTGAGTGGTCTTGCGGTCGCAGGCACGAGTAGATGTATGTGTTTACAGTTACCTACGTATATATTTGGCATGTAGATGGACGGGAATACACTATTACTCATCATTAAGATTACGAGCGTTGATGCATTAGACTGCATTGAATATTATACTACTACGATTCCGAGCTCAGAAGAGGATCTTCGAATTGCTATACATTGCTGGATCCATATCTCGACGTCTCGCAGCAACGATGAGATACTTTACATTAACACTACTCTGGAGCTTTAGTCATCGTTGATCCGAGCGTGTGGACTGGCTGTTGCCTTTACAGTTTCGCCTCGTCCGTGCACTAGCCCGCTATGCTTATCAGGTACTCATCAAGTACTCGAAGGCCCGCCCAACAGCTCACTGGATTGTAGGAACCACGACAACTACTACACACTATTTCGCTCCATCATGCCCACAACCGCCTTCCTGGCCCTGCCAGCCGAGATCCGCGTCAACATCTACAACCACATCTCGCCCGCATCCACCTCCCTCGCCTCCTACTCCGGTCTCCTCCAAACCTGTCGCCTCATCCGCAAAGAATGGAAGCACGAAGCAAAGAAACAAACATCCGAAGAATACACCCAGCTCCTCGCTTTCCTCGCCATCCACAACATACGCATCCTCACGTCTGCCCGCGATCCATCAAAAAGATCAAAGCTCGTACTCCGCCTCCCACCACTAGACCCCACTGCCAGTACCCTCTGGCTGCCAAATTTCCTTCCCTGGCACTGGTCGTGGATAACAGCCGTCATCGTCATCTTTGGCAACGAGTGGCCGCGAAACTACGGGTCGCAACTTGCCATTTACGACCTGTACTGCGACACGTACAAGGTGCTGTGTCGAGATATCCTGGGCTATACTGCACGTACTATCCCAGAGTACAGCAATAAGTTGTGCGAGACGACAAATCATCGGTCTAGTATCAAGCACGTCAGTCTGCGCTGGTACAATGTTCCCCTGGATACGCGGGTTGGCCCATCACGCTTTGGTGTTATACCGGAGCCTTGGCTGAGGTATGGCGAGGACTTTGAGTATCCCTTGCGTCTCTGGGATATCCGTACGAAGCATTATTTAGAGCAGGGAACTGGTTGTTTTAGTGTGACCTGGCGGCGGAGGAGTAAGGAAGATGTTCCAAAGTGGTACTGGGTATCTCGTGGAATGTGGCGGTTCTCTTACAAAGTCATCCGAGCTATCTGTATTGTTGCTGCTGTGTGGAGTGGCTTGTCGGTACTGGAATTGTTGTATACTGAGTATATTTGTGCTTAGTGGTAGTTTCTCTGCGGACGTTGGAGATGAATGTACGGATGTGCAGAATGAGACTGTTCATCATACATTGTGTTCTCCCCCCTTGATGCACACCTGTTCCTTGATATCTCCTCATCTGTCCATACTCTCCGTCCCCTACCATGGTTGTGTCGCTAGCTGCTGTACTATCTCTTCATTCAACTCTTTTTCTAATCTTGCTATATCCTCCTCCGTCGCCTCCTCCTCCTCTTCTTCTTCCTTGGTCTTCGCCGTCCCCCAAGGCTCCAACCCTACACTCCACCAATCCGTCTTGAACATGGAATCCCACCCTTTACTCTCAATTGCCTTCTTCTTAAAGCTCTTTGTTGACCTACGCCCCCTTCTAGCCAGGCTCGTTGTAAACTCTTCTTTGTGGAGAAGTGTGTTTGAGGCCTGTCTGTGTAGCTCCTTTGGCGGGGCTGCGCTGTTGAACTCTCGCCAGAGCACTGTCTCGGAGAAGGTGACGTGTTTGTCCTTGAGGGGTATGTATTTGGATGGAGGCGTGCGCCTGGCCCAAGGTTCGCGGTTCAGTGTTGATTTCATGGACTGGATGTTTGTGCAATGGGTCCGCTTGACCGCTTCTCCAGACCACGTCTTTCCGTCTTTTAGCGCATCTCCAATTTCCTTCTTCAAACTCGCAACAAGATTCAAAAGAGGACCATACCGTTCCGCAATCAGCGGCCAATACCTCTCCGCCGCAGTCCTCCAGTCCCTACAGGGATATTTCGATTGGTGTTCACACCTCATCTCTATCCTTCTCATACTGCAATGCGCATCGTAAAACTCTTCCACGCAAGCTGCGTTATCTTTGTAGCCCTTGGAACTATACACGAGATCCTCGAGCGTCTTCAAAATTTCCTTTTGTTGTTTCTTGATGCGTCTCAACGTAGACGACGCGTAGTAGAATTCCGAGGCAGTGTGAGGGATATGTATGTCTTTACATTGTCTCTCTATGATTTCTTCGAGTGTTGTGCAGACTTCCGTGAGGCGTTCCGCTTGATCGCGTGTGATGCGCATGCCGGCGATGCGCGCCTTGGGTGCTTTGGATGCGTTGGGCGTTGTCTTTGTCTTCGTAAACCAAGACATGAGGAACGTGTGAAGATAATATAGATAAGAGAGGGATTGTTGCGCACATTGCTTTATTGTGAGGCTCGGTGAGGTGGGTTGGGGCGGATTCGGTACCCTGGGTGGGATTTTGATGCGGGCCAGTGAGGAAGAGCGCATTATGGTGGAAGGGGCTGTGGTTTGGTTGATGGGTGGAGGTGCGGCTTGCGCGTGAGCCAGGAGGCGATGTATCACTTCCACGTTGCGAATAATGAGATAATGCAGGGGCGGTGCGAAGCTAGTTTTGTTGCGCATTGTGAAAACGGGCTGTTGAGTGTGAGATAAGGGAAAGGGTCTGAGAAGACGGGCGCCTGTGAGACAATCTGGTTTAGGGAACAAACAACGACAAGAGCAAGCGGGTATGATATGTCAAGCACGAAACCTGACTGCGTTGATGTCAGTGTCGCTCTGCTGGCTGTCAAATGTGAATAATACTGGTTGAATTAGAACAACGTGGTAACATGCCTCGCGCTCACATCTTCGCCCTATCCCCATGATCCGCATTCACAAGCACATAGCGATACCGCGCATGTCCCTCCTCCATATCAACCACACTCTTATTCGCATCCTTCATATTGCGCTTCTGCACCCACGGCTTAATCCCCTTGTCCGCCGCGAACTGAAGCATCTCCTCAATCTCTTTGGGACTGCCAATCTGGCTACCCCCAATCTTACATCCTTTGCCAATAAGACCAAATGCTGCGATTTGAGGGAGCTTGTCTTCTGGTGCGCCGACCTGAATGAACGTACCGCCTGTACGGAGAAGTCGGAGATAGGACTCGAGCGGCATGTCTGGAGAGGAGACTGTGCTGATGATGAGGTCGAGGGTTCGGCTGTGGTTGCGCGCCCACTTGTCGTCTTCAGATGTCGCGATGTAATCTGTGGCGCCCATAGCTTTTGCGTCGTCGACCTTGTTTCTCCGTCGGCTTATCGCTACGACCTTTTCGCAACCCAGTGCTTTCGCGAACAAGACGCCAAAATGGCCTAGACCTCCCAAGCCTACGATTCCGACCTTCTTCCCGGGACCAGCGCCGTTGTTCTTCAGCGGCGCATAGACGGTGATGCCGCCGCACATCATAGGCGCTGCTTCTTCGCTCTTCAGCCCAGCGGGTATCTTGATAGCGAAATGCGCTGGGACGCGGACATAGTCTGCATATCCACCCATGCTCCAGCTTCCATCCGGGTATTTCGCATTGTATGTACCCACCATCTTGGGACAATGTTGCTCAATGCCCGAGCTACATTCCTCGCAGTCGGCCTTCAAGCAGCTGAACGCCTGCGCGCCTACGCCCACTCTGTCGCCTAAGCGCAGGTTCTTGACTTTGTCTCCCACACGCACGACGTTTCCGACGATTTCATGGCCGACGCATACGGGATAGTGGGTTGCGCCCCAGCCAGATCGCAGGGTGTGGATGTCGGTACCGCAGATGCCGCAATGGGAGACTTTGATGTCGATATCGATGGCGTTGAAGGGCTTAGGTTGGAAGGACGACCATGTCATGTTGCCTTGTGCCGCATTCTTATCGTGGGCCAGCCAGCCGTGGAATTCGGAAGGGGAGGTCATCTTCGTTTGGAGGCGGGATCTCTAACACTGGAAGGCGGGGTGAGGTAATTTGAGCTGGTCAGTACAATATTCGAGGAATTGGTCGTAGTGTTAGCTATTAAGAACAGAACGAAGGTAGACGTCGAGCGTTGTCGCGCATCGCGCAGCTAGGACCGAGGATGGCCGACGTCATGGTGTTGGGACAATGTTATCCGAGGCATCTCGCCGGAGCCCTGGACACCAGATGAGGGGGACACGGCTCATGAGAAAGAACAACCCCCATCATCGCGAAGAGTCACGATAGATTCAGCGGCGCGATATCGTGTCTCTGCAGGTGTCGAGAACGATCTTGTCCTCGGCTCCAACACTTCTCTGGCTTCCCGTTGCAAACTTCGCATACCTTTTCATCGTGTAAACGGGCCACAATGTTGTCTAGCAGCGGTCCTCGTCCAACGCACAGCACATTATACAACGGCCTACGCACACGGCGAGTAGTGACGTCTCTGGTGATCATCTTCTGTTTGTATATAATATTCGCCCAATGTAGCCACCTGTGTTGCTTCGGGTGCTGAACGACTCGGAGAGTAACGTTGACACTGGAGAAACAGGCGCTCCATTCTGCCGCAAGGTCCGCGACGTGTAGATGAGCCCAGCTATGGCTCCCTCGTAATGTGTAGACGGATGGGTAGAGTGAAGCGAACTTAGCAGTATTAACGCTCGTTAGGTGGAAGGATACCAGGCGGAACTCTTGAAGCAGCTCGGCCTAAGAGCTGTTCGCTGATGTCGCACCATCTATCCCCGCGAAAAGAATTAGGACTCGTATAGCCCGACCTGCGAGTTTCTGGACATGACCGATGGCATCCATACACATCCGACGATACCCTCGACAGTCGCCAAGTTGACTGAAAATTGTGAGAGCGGAGGTGACGTGTCCCAAGTTGTATGGAATCCAGATTGGCGTGTATGTGTCCTCATGGAGAACCCTTTCGACGTCCTTCATTGCATGCGGTTCGGGCAGACGGTTGTACAAATGCTCCCAGTATTGATAGAGGGCTTGTGCTCTTTCGTACCACTCAATCGCTGTATCGCTAAACCCGCTGTTCTCTCTGCGATGATTACTCTTCCTGCAAGCCACGAGCACAATATCGTAGACTTCGTTGACATAGTCTGAGTTGTCTGCGACGTGCACGTCGCTGCCGAAGAGAGCTAGTTCCTCGGGTGTGCTCGGCAAATGGAGAGCGGTGTTGTTGAATACAGGCAGGTCAGGGTACTCGGCGCGGTTTGGTAGAGTCGGAACGCCATCTACAATCTGGAAACACTTGTTGTACGCGGGACTTCGCATGGTCCGCCAACTTGGGTCGTAGACAGCTGAGGACCGTGAGTACTGCATGTGCACTGTCGCGCTAACCCGCGACCATCAGTCAGCAGCTCTAATACCCGGGCATATCGGCAGCTCAATGTGATATACTCCTGGGTATCTTCTTGGCTTAATTACACCAGCGTCCAATTTAGACACAAGACATTAACTGCTAAGATTGAGGCGATCACGAGACTGCCCAGAGATCTGTTCATTCATGCTACTGTACATTACTACGACGCGATGCATTGATATAACGCGAGGACCAAATCTACCAACCCCTAAGCCTCGGTCTTCTTCATCCCCTTCGTGAACAGCGGACTCTGCTTAACGCGTTCCCAATCATGAAGCATCATGGTATTTGCCGTGCCATCCCTAACCTCCGTACCCCCACGCCTAATCATCTCCTCTTCAAACGCATCAACCGCAGCTTTCCTGTCCTCGCCAGCCTGAATCTTGGTAATAGCTTCGTACAACTTTCCAGCGTCTGTAACAGAGTGATTGAGGCCCTGACCTCGCTGGTACGTCATCGGATGCACAGCATCGCCCACCATAGTAATTAAGCCGCGATGGTTATCCCAGCGATGGCCTTCCATGCCCGGGTCCCAGTCCGTGAGCCCGAGATACCACACCGGCGTGCAATCTGGCGTCCATTCAAACGCACTCCTCCACGGGTCGCAGAACTCTTTTGCGAATTCTTTTTGTTGCGCCAGGCGCTGGGCACCCGTCCAGTTCTTTGTGGCTTCCTGCTCTTTCAAACTACTTCGCCACGAGATGTAGTAGAAGAAGGTCCAGGAAGCCGGGTCATCTTCGTCCGGCGCATCATGCATGCCGAAGAAGGCGAAGTTGTTATTCGGGTGCGCACATGCTAGATACAGCGGGTGGAATGACCGCAAGAAACGGGCTTGCTCGGCGGTAAACTTGCACTGGACAAACGTGCACGCATACGGTATGTGGTTGATGGAGCCCAATTCTTTGCCAAGTAGAATCTGCCTGGTGGAAGAGCGCGCTCCATCCGCGCCAACCAGCATGCGTCCCGTCGTCGAGGTTCCGTCGGCGAAATGGGCAGTGACTGAGTCATCATCAGGTGAGTATGAGATGTCGTGTAAGCGCTTGTCGAAGTGTATGTCAAGGCCTTGCATTAACAAGTCGCGCAACTTGCTCCTCCGTAAGCGGTAGAAAGGCCCGAAGGTGATGGCTGCAACCAGCGCTCCGGTATCGCCTCGCAGCCACTTCAACGTGTCCTGCTCTTTCGTGGGGACATTCGGGTCGACCTGGACGCTCTGGATGCGGTCCCACCAGCCATCTGGCATGAGGCTTTTCAGGACTGGCGCGCCCCAGTGAAGGCCCATGTTCCAGTCGCGCTCGCCATGCGTGGCAGCGTTCTTCTCGAACACGACGCACGGGATATTCGCCTAGTTGTTCGAATGAGGCTACTCTTTTGCATTACACAGACGGTGTACATACTTTGCGGAGCCCCTGGGCGAGTGCAAGTCCAGCGGTTCCTGCGAGCTGGTCAGACCGTGTGGTGCAGCATGTATGCGGCGTCACCTTCGCTTACCAGAACCAATGACGAGGATAGGGAGCTGCGCCGCAATGGCTTCGCCGTCGGCAGTTGGTTTTTCCATGTCAAGTCGCCTGAGATCATCGATGGACTTTGGTCATACTCTCAACCTGTTCTTCGTCTTCTACAACAAAGTTCGAGTATCCACTGTAGAGGTGCTCTTGGCCCACCCTCTCCAACCCGTCCCGCCTGCCAAAAGGGCCGATTAGACAACGGCGATGAAGGGAATGACGCCGTCTGCGGCCCGCAAATGAGCCAGTCCATCAGTCACGAGATGCATTCATCGACACCCTCCTTTTCGACGTTGTTGGCAGGCTCGCCAATGGCCTGACTGCCTCGGACACCCAGAGTCTTCGTACAACGTCGGTAGAGTGCCGCCAGCACGCGCTTACCCCGACGCCTCTAACAGCCATGCAGGCGATGCAGCACCGTTCCTTTTGCGCGTGCATTACACGCGCATCAACGAATGGCAGCGACCGGAGCAGACGACCGATCCGCTGGATCTACTCGGGGATGCT